AATATAAACAGTGAAGAAGAAGAGAAGAGAGAAGCAAATGTAAACTAATGATTAAATGATAAGAGTGATTAATGAGTACATGCATTCTTGATGGAGTCGTGATGGATGGAATCCGTCACAGCATATAGATGCAGCGTCTCTATGTGAGACGCAGAATCCGCTCAAAGAATTTTGCACACGCATAGTTTATGCATTCTGTTAGTTATAGTGTTGTATGTCAGCGTCTCCCGCGGCATCTCCAGCATTCCAAATATTTCGGATATAAGACATCTCTCAGATTCCTTGAATTTTATACTTGATAAATTCCAAATTTTGGTGAAATCTCATCAATTGTTGAATGTTATTCTATTCCAACGCTCGGACAGCCCTTTGTGCTGCATAGCTCTCTGTCTTCTTTGATTGAAAAAGCATCCATATTCGAAAGAAACAACAAACTCGTCTATCTCAATAGCCATCTATCTATGAGGGGGGGAGCATGGCTTGGTGTAGGTGCGTGGGAAAGGGAGTACAACTGCTCGAAAATCTCTATGTGGGGCATGGCATGATGTGGGTGCTTGCTTCAAGGGAGTAAAACTGGTCGAAAAATCTCAATATGCACAAGGCATAGTGTGGGTGCTTGGTGAAGGGAGTACAACTGCTCGAAAATCTGAATATGCCTTATATGCCCTCCTCATGATTGTCGTCTATAGATGGGCTGAAAACGAATCTCCCGAAAATCGCTATAACGCATCAAATCTTCTGATATTTCAAAATCATCATATTGAAATATAGATAAAATTAATTATGTCAAAATGAACAATAAATTCTCGATTGTATTCTTTACTTGTTCATATTCAGCAATATAGTTATGACCAATGATTTGATTAGAATCATTATTATTATTTGTTGCCATTGATGATGAAGAGAATAATGAAGGTTTTTGAATAGACGTATGTTTTGAATTTTTTTTTATATATAAATATATCTAGAATAAACATTATAGATTAAACTAAAATGATACGGAACGTGAATATTTATTACTGCATTGTTAATAATGTTCACTAACAACTTATATCATAGGAAAAATAAATTCACATTATAATCAGAAATGATCATTATATTCAATTTGTTTCATAGAGTTTCTTGTTGTTTCGATCCATTTGTTTGTGGAATTCAAATATAATATATTGAAGCGGTCGTGATGGCTGATTGATTTTCTTTTACACATGAATATTCGTTTTCTTGATGGATCTCTGAAAGAACATTTTTAACTATAAGGTTTTTATTATTATTATTTGATGAATTATTATTTTGTCGTTGTTGAATTCTTTGGTTGTAGATGTGATGAATACTGTACCAATAAATTAGAAAACATACAATCAGTAATAAGATTGTTAATAATATCAATAATATTAGAAGAATAATTATGTTAGAATTGACCATATTGCATACAATTTTAATTTTTATAATTAAAGATGAATTTTTTTTCAAATCACCTATAGTAGTATCATTAAAGAAGCTTGCATTATTGTAAATTCTCATCGCTGTAGACTTGAATCTTTACTTTTAATATGAGAAATCAATTTGATTGAGTGTGGATATCTAAAAGATTGAGAGAATTTAATTTGCAATGTATATGAAAAGTTTTTCCTTATTTACCTTAAATATGTCGTTATAGTTGCTTTCTTCTTTTTCTTTCTATTGAATATGGGGATCTGTTCTTTTTTATGTGATGAGTACACAATCTGATTGGTATATACGACAAGAATATTATCAATCTATAATAGTTGAGTGTAAGATTATGATAATAGAAAAAGTAATCATCCATAAAACATTGATATTAAATTTAATTATCTTATCGGCACATACACACTACAAACAATACAAAGTAACTAATATCTATGAGATACACGATGCTGCTAATATTGAACAAATAAAAAGAAATTCTAATTGTATCATTTATGACTTTGTCACATTCATATGTCATTGACTCGATGTTGGCTTTAGATTAACACACCAGACAAGATTATAAGCACGACCAAAACGTTTTTCAGCATCACCACCAACAGGACAAATCATATTTAATTTAGTTTCACCATGAATAATGAATAATGTTTCAATGATATATCGTAATATAATCGAAAGATCTTCTGGTACTAAATTGGGGTGTGGGAAGAAGAAGAAGAAGAAAAAAAAACGATGTGAAAAAGATAATTAAATTCAAGATAAGTTCACTTACAAACAGCAATAATGGCCATCTTATATAAATCCAATGTCATATATGGCAACTGATTGATTGGAGAAGAGTGAAATTGTTCGAAAAACAAACGTTGTTGTTTTACTTGTCGATGTGTGAAAGCATATCTAGCTGGTGGTAATGGGACACGTTCTAGGGAACGAGCTACTCTACGATTACTCGTGGCAAAAGTTGTCAAGACATGAACAAATGTAGGGTCAATATTAGAAGCACCGTGCCAATGAATATCATTTTCTGCTACTGCTTCACTCCAAACTAGAGGAATAAAACACCAATACGTTGGATTACAATCTAGAAATGAACGAAGTGCTATTGGACATCGTGCTGAATGTTGATAGAGACGCATTTTATTGGCTATTGTATTCCTATGATATTGTCAAATTAGAATAATTAATGATATATCTGGTTCATTACTCGTTCTCATTAGGATCAAAAATTGCTCCTCGAAGTAATGAAGTACCAGTTAATTTTTCATGTATTCTTCGATTACCATGTTCTCTATGATCTATATCATAAGAAGAAAATCGCTAAAGGTAAACAAAAAAAGATCAATTAATATATAATTTATACATACAAATCATGGCATTGGATAATGTTTTTGCTGTTGAATCGACATAATCATAGTGACCACATGGACACGTCATAGTATAGATTACATTCGATGTAGTACACGTCTAAATTATAATACATATAATATTTTTTGAAAAGAAACTTAAATATACAAAAATCAAAAGAGTAATATACTGCTGGGCAATTTAGATAGGTAGTATATCCATTGACAAAATCATGCGTTGAACTTGAATTAAAATCAACGACTGGCCACATTTGACTTTTCTTATCATTATTTATTGGATGACAACATGGACAAGTAAGATTGCCACATGGAGTTAATGTATATCTTGCTTGAGGTTTATCACTATCACAAAATAGACCTTCTATTAAAGATCGAGGTGTAGCTCCTCGAAATGAGCAAGTTTTCATATGGAATGTATCCACTAAAGAATAAATCATTAAAAAAATATATATGAGATTATGAAATGATATAATCAACGTCTATAGAAACTAACCATCTATTTGTAGATAGAATTCTAATAGCATAGACATTTGTTTTGAATTGAGAAATGGTTCGTTCAAGGCAACAGGTATCTTACATAGAATATTTTCTCGAAATGATTCATATAACGCAAGAAGTAAATAGCATATGCGACGAAGTACATCAGCATTAAAAGTGATGATTGATGTGCCTATCTGTAATCGTGTAGCGAGTTCTTCAGTATCTTGTTTAGACAAACTAAAAATGTTACCATATTGATAATTATTCATAATTTCTAATGCATCTGAAGTATATGCTCCATGTTGACGTCGAGTAATTTCAGTAGGTCCAAGACGAGTAACTAGAATTTTAACGGAATAATATCTAATGAGTATATGACCAAAAAAAAAACAACAACAACAAAATGAAACAAACCTGGTACATTAGCTAAGAGAAGATGGTCAATAGGTCCAAAACATTTTGTTGGAAATATAGGTAAATAAGCATAACGTTCATTGTTTTGTCCGTGTAATGTTCTCGGTTGATATACAGATTGTTCATTAAGAGTCAATGAAGCAATACCGTCTTCTGTTTGATTTAAATTAATATTATAACAGTGCATATTGAATAAGATGGATTTTCAATTGTTGTAATGATTTTGTAATTTATAATTAAAATTATAGTTTCTTATGTTGACGAGAATCTATCTGAAAACAAAACAAAACAAAGATTAGATTATTGTATCATAGAAATAGAACGGAAACAATAAAGAGAAAAAAAAGTACTATCCATGACTTCAACGACATGGTGTACATAAATCGATGGTACTAGGCGTTGATGGAGTTGGATTCATTGCTTCATTCAAAATTTCTATTGTTTCTGTCAGTGTTGAAAATGCCAATTGAATCTGTTTGCGTTCATGGTCAATAATTGTCTCGGTCAATTCACGAATGATAGTTGATGCATCAATAGTAGTTTGACCTATTCAATTAATAAACATACAATGAAAAATTTGCAAAAACAAAACGCATAATCACTTTGTTGTTCATTGGCATAAAATAGAAGTATACTGCATTGTCAATCTGTTAGTTNAAAAATTTGCAAAAACAAAACGCATAATCACTTTGTTGTTCATTGGCATAAAATAGAAGTATACTGCATTGTCAATCTGTTATTTTTCAGAACACACGCTATACATACTTCGACAAAGCCTGTATTTAAAGAATTCATAATCAAATTTCCTATAATAAATTTAATAGATAAAAAATATTATTCAATTAATATCATTGATATAAGTTATATTTACTTGTTGGATCATTTGAGGCGTCTATTGCTGGGTGAAAATCTTCATCATTATTTGTTTTTTGTGTCATGAATATAATGATCTAATCTGATTTGTTGAGGGTGTTCTAATGGAATTGATGATT